TCCCCGTGCGCGTGCGCCCGCCGCAGCCCCGCCCTCCAATCCCGTGGGCCTCTGCGAGAGGGTATTTAAATGCCTCGCTGAGGCTTTTGGGTCTTGTCTTTTCTCTGCTGCTCTGGTGAGTGTTCTCTCTGTGTTGGGGAGGCATGCCCGCGTCAGCGTGGCGGGCCTTAGGCCGTCTTCTGTGTTATGTCTGTTTCGGGGGGCGGGAGGGCAAATGGGGCGACTTGGCCATGGCCTCCAGGCCTCGAAGCTACTGCAGGGCTTTGTGAAGGACAAAATGGCGATGGCGGGCGGTGCCGGCGGCCTTCTCTGTGATGAGGACCTTTCACAGACCTGTACCGAGTCCCGTGAGGATAAGACACTCTGAGACGGGCCTTGCACCCCCGGGGCAGTGGGCGCGCCGGAGGCCAGGGCGTTGGGCAATATGCAATATCGACCTAATGTGCTCCTTGTCTGCAGGGTTCGGGCGCACGTATGGACGCTAGAGGACCCGGGACATCCCTCTTGTTCGAGTAAGTGCTGAAGGCCACCCTTCACGGCGCTTCCTCCGCTGCTGCGTGCGTGCGAGTCCTGTGCGGTGTGCTACGGGGATGATAAAAACCGAACTCTCTCTTTCTGATGGATTGGTGGAGAAGTGTATACATTCTGAGTAGCACCATCCGCAGCAAAAGTTGGGTTGTATTTTCATGCTTGGGGTCTGTTTAGCTCTGAAGTGTTAGGGCACGCGCACAAGACGAGGCTGCAAGGCATGAAACCTAAGTGAAGGGTGCTCTTCGCTGTTTTCCAGGTTTGGTTCCGACCCAGAGAGCTCGTACAGGTTGGAGGATGGGACCAGACCTATCCCCGTGCAGATCAGTCCTTGCAGCGGGGCTCCGGTGGGTACACAGGATTATGCCATTATGGGTAGGGGCGCCGAGTGCAAATGGGTGTCCGCTTGGGCTGGCCACTCCGTGATGAACATACAACGACAAGCATATGACTGAACTCACAAGTGATGTCATCTAAGCACTGAGAAGTCGGCCAAGAGTATTCATGGGCTTTGAATGGCTGTTACTGGGTGTATGTATGTATGTAATGCCTCCTCTTTCTGTCCGTAGCATCTCATCGGTCCTCACGGATTCGGCTGCGTCCGAGGGTGATCACAGGTAATTGTCTAAATGGGGGATTGAGGTGTTCTCTCTCCAGTGTCCCCCACAACCAGGAGAGCAAATGGTCCTTCCTGCTGGTTTCTCCTGGAATGATTGTGCTGGGGAGGGAGAGAACACCCCGGTGGTACCTCTGGTTCTTGGGGGGGTGATATTCCCCGCACCCACACGTCACTGTCAGATGATTTGAATTGTTACGCTGACGCTCTGTGAGGCACGACAGGTAATAGCATGTTAGAGTTCTGATGGCAGTTTCTGTTCAGTGATGAAATCTTACTCCATTACAACATTTTTAGTAATAATTGACTCTTCATTTATAGGTTGTCCTGATGATGATCTATTCACCTATCTAAATGGTAAGTAGCTCCTTCTAATACTCCAATCCTGTGGTAAACTAACACGTGAACCCATTATCCAGTGAATAACTTGGCAACGTGTTTTGTTTTTGTCACCAGAGCCTTAATTGACCCATTTAGCTTTCTGGTTTCTCATTGCTTGTAGTGACATTTCTTGATCTCTTGCCTCCTAGGTCACCATTGATCTGCCCAGGGTTGAACACATGGAAAGAGGTGGAAGTGGTGAGTGTGTATACCTGTTGTAACTTTCTGTGGGGTCCAGTGCCAGTGAGGAGAGCAAACATCCTGTCTTACCCCAGTACTAGCCTCAGAGCCAGTAATGGTGAACCCACTGGGGCTAACTGGGAGAGAGGATGAGAACCTGTTCCATAAGGAACTGTCTGAGGTACAACAGAGAGTTAGCATTGCTTAGTTTTTCTTGGTCTGCCCGTTAACCATAACTAGAATCACTTTGGCTATTCTAGATCATTTGCTAATTGTGTGATCTCATTTAGGAGCAGCTGGGCCCTGTATACTCCTGAGAAACCTCCAGAGTTAAAAGGTGAGTTGACTGTCAGGCTTATGCCACCCAGTCGTCAGTTTCTATGATGAATCGAACTAGCTCACTATGACTTACATAATGAACACATTTGAACACCTGAGAAACTGGAGAAGATGGTGGCGGCGGGGATACCAAGTTGGCATTTTCATCGACCACAGCCTTGTCTTTCCAGGTGCTGGTAACAGTGACCGGCTTTGCTTGTCCACTCAAAGGTGAGTGGTTTCCACATGTGCGGCATGCCGGGTAGAGAATGCCCTTTAGGCCTGTATATATGATGACTGACATGGAATCTCGTTCGGCTGATGACTTGCTGTTGAGACTCGGAAATCTGATTTTCTAGGAACTGGCTGAAGCCTCCGTTTAGTTCAGGAAGTGCATGCTGCTGACTGTCTTGTTTGTTTCAGGTCCAGCACCTCCTCTGGGGCCCAGGAATGATTTGAGGTAAGCCTCTTTGTAATCTCAATCTGTGGCTGCTATATGAAAGGTGCCAGTTTCGCACTTTGGGATCACTCACCAGTGATGAGTTTATACCGCCCCAGTCTGATCACTGTGACTGAAAGGTATTTTCTGAGCTGTGAGCTTGCCTTGGAATGAAAAGTGACCCTGGGAAGTTGATTGAGTAGGCAGTACAGCTAATAGGACATTCTTTGGACCACCTCGTTTCTGAAAAGCGTGTTTTGAAACCTGTGCAGCCTATACAGGTGTGCCTAGGGCTGGTTGACTGAGTTCCCATTCATTCTTTTGCAGGGGAACTGTAATCTGTATTTCTGGTCAACTTCAGTCTGAAGTTTGAGGTGAGTAATTCAGAGGTAAAGTGCAAGCCAAGCTACAATTTCCCAGTGAGGAAACCTTCACATGTCTTACCTCCTGTCCTTGTCCCAGAGCCTGTAAAGGTGAACCCACTGGGGCTGGCTGGGGGAGAAGAGGAAAGTTTGTTCCAGAAGGAACTGTCTGAGGGATCACAAGGATTTCTAAACATGGGAAAGGGAAGAATAACTCAATTGTTCAAAAAAGTCGTTTTTTGTTTTTTTTCAGGTCTAAAGAAAGAACAAAGCATGTATAATGGTAGGTATCTTCCCACTTTCAGGTATATAACCATTTGTACACCCTAAGCGACCTTTTTTAATGCCAGTTAACTAATCAATATTCAAAGTTACTGACATAACCAGAAAACCTAGGGGTGTAATTGGGTTAAAGGTTGGCACCTTGTAGCTCACAATGCATATTCTTTCCCATCCAATAAACTCACTTTTTTTTCCCTACAGGAATCCAACTCTTTGAAGACGAGAATTTTCAAGCAATTTCTTGTATAATCTGGCTGTTTTAAGTTTTCAAATAATCTTTTCCATCCTTAAAAATAATGGCTCTTTTTACCCTTCACTCTTGTTGTGTTTGAGTGGA